CCTGTTGTGTCGTGTCTCTGCATATACGCGCTTTGAGATTTCAACCCCTTTGATGGTTAGAATTTTTTAAATGGGATTGGTTCCCTTATTGCGATACATAGGAGAAAATCTTCTAGCTTGAATTTGTTTGTTATAAGGAAAGTTTCTATCGCTTTAGTGGTTATCTCAAAAGAGAAATATTTACAGTGTATTGTAGTTTCTAATTTTGTTGCACACCTTTGTGACGTTTCAACCCCTTTGTCGGTTACAGATTTTCAAATGCGATTGATACCTTTATTGTAATAGGAGAAACGCCCCTGAATTGAATTTGTTTCTTATAAAATAGAGGTTTTTATCGATCAAGTAGTCATTTCGGAAGAGAAATATTTATAGTGTATTATAGTATGAGTTTTGTCATCAAAATCCAAGTGCTAGGAGACTTGTTGAAAATAGCAGCTTATGTAGGTCTCCGTCGTTTGTGACAAGATCTTTCGTATTTCGATCCAAAGCGTTTAAGGACTGTTTACACGTTCAATAATCATTCAATAATATGCTGTGCCGTCCCGAAAGTCGGCGGGCAGAAAAATTTCAAGACTATCGTTTTCCATCAAGGAGGACATTGTTCCCGTTTCGCGTCGTGAAATTTCGCTTTAACGATCGTTGCCAGGGAAGTTACCCGGTCTCGCCTTTTTCCGGTAAGGTCGCCGGCAGGAAAGCTCGCCTTATACTGCATTAGTATAATTAACCCAGATTTTCCCGGATTTATGGTGAACGGCGCACGGGCGCACACGGGTCAGAGCCGCGGCTCGTTCAATTATAATGCCCCGTTCACAACGGGTTCTTCCATTGCATCGTGCCATTTACATAGGGACCGTGTGTAATTCCGTTTGTTTATTCTGCACACAACGGTCAATTTTAATTTTCGTTCAAACTGTTGTTATCAGCATTAACACTTTGTTAGATGGTTTTTTTTCTCTTTTAAATATAGAACTTCAGGTGTTCTAAAAATATTTTCGAAACTACTACTTAAAATTGTCTTATTTGTCAAACTTTACAAATATAGGAAAACGGACTTTTCCCTGTTTTTTTACTATTCTAGTTCCGATTTAAGAAATACCTATTATACATATGTATGGTATACGGTAAATCCGCGACGAGTGTTTCAAAGCTCCTAGGCACAAGGACAAGGTAATGTCCCCCGGTGTAACGCTGACTTTTTAATGTAGTTTATGAAATATTTCATGCGCAGTCCCGTGGAGTCTTCGAGCACTCATCGAGGATGTAATGTACTACGTTAACCGCTCTCAGCTTTCCTTTTGGAAACAACATTTTCATCATAATTCATATTAATATTATCTCGTTGTTGTATCCAGAGTAAACGTAAACGCAATATTGTCAGATTACCGACTTGAATAATACGAACAGACGTTTTCCGGTTAATGTAATTTCGACGTGTCGATTAGAGGGGCGGTTTTAGGAGTAAGGACAAGTCTGGACGGTTGCATTAATCACCGATGACGGTCTAATAACGCGAGAAACAACGACCGAAAGATCGTGGAAGAATCGCATGGTATCGATTTATAGCTGTTGGACGTTGCGCAAGATTAATTCACATCTCTTCCCGGGCAATTAGCTTCTAACGCGCGTCGTCGCTATTGATGAATCGTTTCTAAATGATCCAGTCTTCGCGTTCCCTTCGCTAGGAAGAACGTATACAAGGTGTCCAACGTAACGCGAGTACCTTCAATTTACTACTTGTTTTTGAAGATACAAAAAAATGAGTAACTGAAAAGAGTATCTATTGTTCTTTAGCTTTTCTAAAGGTCATATTTTTATCGAAATTTCATGGTCATTCGTGATTTTTGAAATGGAACAACTATATTTTTCGATCGGTGAGGCGTAATAGTTGAGATCAAGATCAATCTCTCGAATGTCCTATAATAGTGTGACCTTCGGGTAATCTTGAGTATGAAATGGTAACTACGATAGACGGATTAGTGGAAAAATGTATCGAAGTTGATGGAAATCATTTTGAGCATTTATTCAAATAAATTTTTTTGCGAATCAAAAGCAAGTAAGAGATCCTAACACAACGTGCTCAAGCTGGATGAGACACCACGTACATAGTATATTATATTTTTATTTCACACTGTGCACATAAGATAGTATACATACATATATGTATCTAATAGCGCATAACATATATTATTGGGGAAACACAGATGCTCTCGAGGGTTGAGAATCTAGGACATCTTTCTAGGAGAACTTTCGTTCGACAGAGACTTTCGTGTTGCACGAGAAAGGATATTCGAAAAGGGAAAATGTCGGAAGGCTGCACGAGCTGCAGGGGCGCAAATTACGGCGGGACCGCGTTGCAGTTAGGCTCGACTTCCGGCGGCGGGACCGGAAGCGGGTCCTCCGCGTCTACGGGCTCCTGCACGACCACCAGAAGGGTACAAGTACGCGCGAAAGTGTTGTATGGATCGGGAAAGGCGATTGCGAGCCTGCAAGCACAGGAGAAAGCTGCCAGACACTGACAAGGTACGTGTTGATTCTTGACCTACGATACGTAATCACAAGAACTTGTTGCATCTTCGAATTAGTATACAATAAATGAAAACTATACATATAGAATTGTCGGCAAATCGAGATAGAAGAAGAATGATACTTACTGTAATTAAAATTAATCTTAACCTCTTCGAGCCCAGTGCACGTTGGAATGTACAATAATTTAAATGTTTCTTCCGATACTATTTTACCGTGTTCTCAAATGTTATTTTTAGAAAACACATCGACTATAAAAAGACGTAAAATAAATCACCTTCGCATAAAGACTTTATTATCATGGGGTGTTTAATGGGGTACATAATGACTCTGATCATTTTAAAAAAACTCCAGCAACAATAATGTCATAATATCCAGATAAAAACAATCGGATTATCGCAAAGAACCTGATTATCCTTTAGATCCCCAAGCAACTACCAAACAAGTGAAACGGACGGACGTGTCGAAACGTTCCAGCACTCGAGCAGTAGGTACATACGAGCTCGATCAGAGTGGGCACAAGCAAAACTAGGCAATCGTCGCGTACGATTGAAGGCCGTCGTCGGCCACCAATTATACCATAGTATCAATCCTCTGGTTTCTCTTCAAACGAACGATCTAACAGGAATCGAGTATGTGTGTGTGTGTGTGTGTGTGTGTGTGTGCGCGCGCGTCCCCCTCGAGGCGTCGAATCGAAACGTCGATGGTTTTTCTGTCTCTGTCACTTGTGGAGGGCGGACACGTTTCGTCGGGGTCTCATTATACGCGGAGAGAATCCTCTCCTCTCGTCGTCGTCGTCGTCATCATCATCATCATCATCATCATCGTCATCGGGTGAACAGATCGACGCGCGGAAGCCATGGTCCGAAATCAAAGAGGTGACGAGCCCGGAGGCGAGTCGAGTAACAGTAAAAATCCGAGAAAAAGGTGCACGACCGACCGGATCGAGGGGAAAAAAGCGCAAAAACACGCGGTCTTGCATCGTTCATCGTGGATAAGACCAGTCGACCGGCCTACACCAGGTTTAGTACTTGGTGAACAGTCCTCGAGGAGACCACGTGTCGCGCGGTTCAACACCATTTTCTTCAAACATTTTCTGTTCCTTTCATCGCGTTGCGAACCGCCACCGTCTGATCGCGATTCGAGGGAAGATAGTGAAGATACGGTAGCCATGCGATCTTCTGCATTGTAAGTTTGTGGGTTCATATCGATACCAGGAAAGTACATTAATAGTATTCCGTAATTCCGTATGTCTTTTTATTAATTTTACAGTTTAGCAATTTGCAAAGCTGCAAATTTTTCTGCTACTTTGAGTCAAAGTTCGATAAGTAACGGTCAAAGAATCAATCGGTTATCGATCCCGACAAAGAGAATACAATTTAGTTGTTTCCGTTTCGTGGCAGCATCCTACGATCCGCTGTACCGTTACGTCTCTCTCTACATTCCAAATAAAGGATCCGTGTTACTTGGTCGTGCTACTCGTGATTTCGTTACGTTGTCTGTTACCACTGAATGGCATTCAATGAACTGTCATTAACGGCAGTCCTCTTCTTACGTCGGTAGCTTAGACAATTAAGTCTAAGAACCTTACTAGAGAATTTTCGAACGATTACCCAGAACACTTTCAAAGTTAATAATGAAAATCGACTGTTTCATCACGGTGTCTACCACCTCTGTGTGTGTGTGTGTGTGTGTGTGTGTGTGTGTGTGTCTCTCTCTGTATAACAGTACCCTCAATTTCACGAGCAATTATAACAAGAATTTAATCACGAACGTGTTCCGTAACTTATCGTGCAGTATTGCTCGATCTCGAAGACTGTTATTTGCCCAGAGGATCTCCACAGCACGGCATTCATACGGATTAATTGAGTGTAAAATGTCGGTAACGGGGTATTTGCATATTACGAATGCGAATTTGCGCGTCGGTGATCGATGATCCAGTTTGATTTCATCGTGACGTGAATCGACAATGCGGGCTGGTGTAGTGGTGTAGTCGTCGATCGTGGCGATTTCTCTGGCGGATCGTGGTGTAATTAAATCCAAGGGAACGCGACGAAATGCAAATTGCAACAGGAGGGGGGCCACGCACGTGCTGCGAACTGATACGGTACAGTGTACACAAACGTGCGCGGAAACGTCGCTTTGTACCTACATACATACATACACACACACACACACACACACACACGTATAGTATACTTAATGCCTCTTAAGTAAGAAAGTTGACGTCACGCGGAACTGATAACGCGTCGTTGACTGTCGAATTTCTCTTGGGAAACCTAAAAATTACGAAATCGTTAAAGATTATTCTTTAAATCGTCAATTTTCACGTTCATATGGACATCTTACACCTATTTCTTCGCGATAAAAGAAATTGTAAAAATATTGTTAAAAGTACGATTACGCGATTGGAAGAAAGTTTCTGTAGTAGGTACACTTACTTTGATGAAACACACGCGCTAGACTAGCATACATTGATGTCTTCCAGAATCCTCCTCGTCCTGCTCACCTCAGCGCGATCGAAGTCGACCCTGAGACATGAAACGCGTGAAGCAGGAAGGGTCGAAACATCAACGGACACTTGGTCATCGAGCGAAAAGGACATTTCAGTGGACCATAAACAATTGAATAAAGGTAACTGGAACACCTCACGACCCATAGAGACTCTGTTCATCCCCGAAGAACCAGCTCGATACGCAGAGATCCTCGAACAACTGCGTGAACTGCTCGAATCGTCGGAAGTTCCAGAAACCGTCGAGCCTTGTGGAAACCAGCAAAATCCTGTTGACGGTGGAACACGTTGGGAATTCGAGGAGCAGAGAACGGAACACTCAGAAGGACCGCTAGGACAAGTCGCTGAAAATACGAGTCGAGAGGATCCAGCTACGGATACATCGTCGATGGAGGATCAATTTTTTAACGTTCAGAACGGTAGGAATTCGAGCCTCGAGGTGAACGAGGAGAAATACCTGGCGCGAAATCCAACGGTAGTGTCTTTGGCCGCGGAGAATAATGGAAACGACAAGGCGGTGTCCGTGGAAGGTAACAGCGAAGATCATCGAGTTCAGGAGAAGAACGATCCCGACGAAGAGGACTACCTCGAGGCGGCGAACTTCGGACTGGAGGCCATGAAGAATCTGTACCTTGTTACCGAGCCCACGCTCTACTCGATGGGTAGGTTTCATGCGAGGAAATATTTCGAATCGTATACGCAGTAGGAAAAGGTTATCGAATTTGGACCACTAATGTATATTTCTTATTCTAGGCTAATAATAAACTATTTTTCACCCATTGGACCCCCAGTTTATTCCGAGTCAGACTCACACATATTTGCATATCCATACACGTATGGAACTATGTATTAAAAAGATACGTGTGAAACATGTTGTTTTACATTTTTTTTTTCTTCTTTTTCTTTTTCTTTTATTACCGATAAAAGTAATGTATGACTCACGGATCTGTTCGCAAAAAGCTATTATTACCTTTATTCGACAAAATTTCCTACTAAACTTGCAAACTTCATTTCAAAACTAAAAAAAACTTATCACTAAACTATGATAAAAGTAGAAATAATGAAGTTACGTAAACAGAATTATTAGTGAATCTATAAACAATATATTTCGTCTGTCATACGACGCAAATTGCTTATAAATAACAAGTTACACAGTAGCGGTCCAACGTAGGTAGGCGACGCAACCTTCCCCTATTACAATAGAAGAAAGAATGTTCCAGAGATCAAGAATAAAACCTGTTGACAGGCCTTTATCTTGATTCGGACAACCCAGCGAAGTATCTGGCCACTTTCAACGACCAGACCGAAGAGGCGAGAAGACTCGCAAAGTATGGTTTCGCTGTACTTCAAGGCACCACGATGTTCAAGAAAAAGTATGTACGCGTTCACGATGTGTACGTATTCACGCGGTATTTGATATTTGAATTGTCTTTCGACACAAGATTCCCAGACGCCACGACGGACTTGCTTCTCGCTCGACGAAGTCAAAGCAATCCACTACAGCGACACTGTCCAAACAGGGGGGTTCCTCACTGTCCGCGGGCCAGTCTCAGGTACAGAACGTCCGACGGGAGCTGCAATAATCTTCGAAATCTTTGGTGGGGCTCTGCCATGTCCCCTATGCAGAGGTAAATATCATTCACAAATACGACTTGGCTCTACGGTATTAATGAACCACATCTGTGCTGATTCAGATTCCTGGCACCAGTTTACGACGACGGTGTGCAAAGCATAAGAAGATCGACAAGTGGAAGGCCTCTACCAAGCGCCAGGGAAGTAACCAACCTGATCCATGAGGACAGAGACGTACCCTTGGCCTCTGTTACTCATATGTTGATGCAGTGGGGACAATTTGTCGATCATGACTTAACAGGTACCTATATAGGATATAGGAGAAATCAATCACTTCATCAGGACCGAATAAAATCCTGTTAATTTTCCATATTCTTTCTCTGTTTCTGTTTTTCTATTCCGTTATATGGTATTTGATCAGTAAAATTACGCATTTCTTTCCACATAATCGTAACTTTCTGCATATGTATTCAGTGTAAAGTAGGTACTTTTTTACCTTTTTTTCGGCTTTTGTACATATAAGTAGTTACTATGAGTTTTTGTAAACTCCGGTATCTACCGGAGGTAGATTTTTACGTGTTTAGTGTAAAACTAATCTTTTATAAATATTATACATATGTATATTACATAATATCATTGTCAATAGCTACTGGTCAGAGCAGAGGCTTCAATGGAACCATACCACAATGCTGTCTGAACTTCGGTACAGGTTTCCAACCACCAGAATTTATGGTGATTATCCATCGACACCCGTTTATCATACTCATTTAAACACGATTATCTAGACAATAAATGGAGTTTCTTCGAAGTGGTCCAGCTCCCAGGGAGGACTGTAAATTCGGTCCCAGGGAGCAGTTGACGCAGGTGACTAGCTACCTGGACGCGTCCACGGTCTACAGCAGCAACGCCTTTCAAACTGACACTTTACGTTTGTTTCGGAACGGTAAGACATCGATCGTTTGTTGGCTTGCTTCTTCGCAAAATTTTCTTGACAAACAATGGAATAAAAGTTATTTTATTCGACTCGAACGGTGCTCAGGCCTCCTGCAGTACGGGAAGATCCAGTCGCAGAGGCCGGTGCTACCAAAACAGGATTCCGATCTCTGCAGACGTGGATCGTTGTCGACAAGCTGTTTCCGTGCCGGTGATGGTCGCCTCGGCGAACAACCGGCCCTCACGTCTCTCCATGTGATCTTTCTACGGCTACACAATAGAATAGCGACGAATCTGGCCGCGTTGAATCCGCATTGGAGCGACGAGAAGTTATTCCAAGAATCCCGGAGGATCGTGGGCGCTGTTGTCCAGCACATCACTTACAGGGAATTTTTGCCGATCGTTCTAGGTAAAAAGTGACACCCAACAGGATGAAATACTATCACGATTCTTCAGATACTGATCAGAATTTCTTCAAGACACGAAGTTTCAAGACAAATGGAATTTATATGCTTCAGGACAAGACGTGACGAAGATATTCGATCTAGAAGTTCTCAAGAAAGGCTATTACAATGGATACAATCCCACGATGAATCCTACCATCGCAAATGGATTCTCCACCGCAGCTTATCGTTTCGGTCACTCATTAGTGCAACGGAGCTTTATTCGTTTCGATAGCGATCATCAGCCCATCTTCAATAGTCAGTATACAGTGTAGTGTGTGTGTGTGTGTGTGTGTGTGTGTCGGTATACTTGTCAAAGATTGCACACACATGTTAAGGATACTAAATAGAAAGAAGCCAAATTTCATTCTGCTATACATATGAATAAACTATTATACGTACATACATACATACATACATACATACATGTTTCGGATACCAATAGAAACAAAAAGAAAATTATTCTGTTAAAGACGTCACCATTCACAAAGAGTTCAGCAATCCAGCGAACCTAGAGACTGCAGGCTCGGTGGACCGTCTTCTCCTTGGCTTGATTAATCAACCCTCCCAGAGAAGAGACGAGCACATCAGCGACGAACTGACCAACCATCTGTTCCAGACTCCCGGATTCCCATTTGGTATGGACCTAGCCTCCATCAATATACAACGTGGCAGAGATCACGGCATTAGCGAGAACCGTGTGGTTTGTCGCGAATAAAGAGTTTCGACGATTTGGAGAGAGTGATGCCTCCAGATGTGGCCAGGAAATTCAGGCTGATATACTCCTTCGTGGAGGACATCGACCTCTTCACGGCTGGTCTTGCAGAAAAGTCAGTCAGCGGTGGTTTAGTAGGTCCAACCTTTGCTTGCATTATCGGTCAACAGTTCAGTCATCTCCGTAGAGGCGACAGGTTCTGGTACGAGAACCCTGAACAGGAGAGTAGCTTCACTCCTGGCCAGCTTCAGCAGATCAGACGCGTCAGCCTGGCCCAGGTGCTCTGTAAAACCGTGGACAACATCGAGACTGTTCAACCGTTTGTTTTTCTGACTCAGGACACATTAAGAAACCGACGATTACCTTGCGAGGATCCAGTAATTGGTCAATTAGATCTTGATTCCTGGAAAGACACACCTGAGTCACAGTTCAGAAGCAGGGCTGGAATCCTGGATGTTTTCAAGAAAAAGAATCAATCTCAGAGCACCACCGTTAAGCCTGTTACTAGCCAGCTGACAAAAGGTTTCCCGTGGAAAGAAAAGCCAACATCGACGAGTATCTATCAACAGAACCGGGTCGTTGTCAGGAAACCTCTTGGTCCTCCTGAAAACGTGAGCATAGTTGTACAAAATAACGCTGTCAATGCTCCCGTCTTCGTGAAGGACGGGATTTATGGGTCGAACATAGGGGTAGATCCTCCAACGCGACCAAGCAACACTCAGAGACCATCTTTCGATTTCGTTAACAACAGACCAAGTCAACAGGGACCTCTGCAATCAATTCCAATTTATGTACCCCCTAACCCAATCCCTACGTCGCCTCCTCCTTTATCCCATGCGTTAGCCGGACGTCCGTATATTCCATACGCTTTCGACGATCCAAACAATCCGAATCCTTTGAGTCCCGGTTTCCAATACTTTCACGGGTCCAACGACGTGGTCTTTGAAAGTTATCCGGCCAGCAGTCCCCAGCCAACCTTGTACACTTACTACACGAACTTTCAGAGACCGACGACTCAGCGACCTTATCATGAATATGTAAACGATAGACCGCAGTATCACGAGCCGAACCCTCCGCTAAACTCCTGGCCGGGTCTCGAGAACCCAAATGCCGGGCAGTTCCCGTCCAGACCTGTTCAGGATACCCCAGGTAACCAGAATACCGGAAATGGTTACAATCCCAATTGGCAGCAATTGCAACAACAACAACAACAACAACAACAACAACAACAACAAATTCTGATCAATCAACTGACCGATCCTGGACATTGGAACTCGCAGGGCTATCGAAACAGACCTAATACTCCCCCTGTAGATAAAGTAAGGGATCCTAGTTGGAATTACCAGAACGATGGATATGTATCGAGTCACAGTCACAGGCCGATGATAGAGATCAAGCAACCCGATAGGAATCAGTACGTAACATGGTCTAGCGTGTCGTCGTCGTCTTCTTATCAGACTGCAGTCGAGAAAAATCATAATCAATATCATTCAAGCGGACCACCAAGCTGGTCGATTATTCCAACTTACCAGAAATGGACCAGCAGCAGGCCAGACAGTTCGTACAAAACAGACGTGAAAAATACTTCCGAGAGACCTTCGTTAATTGAAGAATCGAAGAGTACGGATTATCAGAGACCGATCAGACCTCAAGATAACACCTTCTCTCACAATCAGTCGAAGCTTCCTACCATACCTGCACAGAACAGTCCAGATCGCGATCAGTCGCATTCGTTTACAGTCGGACCGTTTCCAGACCAGTTGGATGAGTCGTCATCGTATCAGGGTCAGACAAGGCCGAAACCGTCGAAGGTTCACAGCGTTACGATAGTGACAGAGACGACGGACACGTCGATTGGGACCGGATATGGAACGGAGAATCAAGTGACCAGTGAGGTACCGAGGCCACTGGTCGCTCAGATAGAGGACAATAGACCGATCAGAATCAGAAGACCAGGCCAGTATTACTATGAAAAGAACGTGTTACATCGATATCCCGATAATATAGAGAATCAGGCAACAACGGACAGGTATCATTCAATCGAAGATGGCGTCTTACAAAGGCACAACACAGTGGACAGTGGGGGGTCAACCGACAATCCGGTTATCGACGTATCCGAAGACGGTACTCGGATTATCGATGAAAGGAAGAACGATACGAGGATTGAGGAAACAACGAATGAGAGGATAAATGAGACCAGCGAAACGCTTGACGATCACGCAGCCTCGGAACTCTCGGAAGAGATTGAAGAAGTTGCGTCGACCGGCAAAAGGTATGTTATGATATGACACTTGCAGAAAGTGACTACAAAAAAATTTTATCGATTTTTATGGATTTATCGAGGTCTTCGAGATAAGAATAACCTTTATGTGTAAAATTCCAAGAAGTTTAATATGTATGTACATATAAGGTCAAAAGGATATAAACAAGCATATTCATATACCCATAAGCTCAAGTTTTTAAAGAAAAAAGAACTAGTAAGAAGAAAAGTAGGACCCGAACGAAGATCGCAACAGGGTTAAGGGAAAACTCGATTTCTCATATCGTAAAGTTTGCAATCTACATTCCAAGTTTTCACGAAGAACATGTACCCGATACATAATCACCTCTAACCGATGAAAAATTCTTATCTTAACCGATGTGTACACAAGCCACTCTCTATCGGCTGTTAGTAATGTTCAATGGCAACGATACGCGATTTTTGCATTCCCGTTGTGTTTGTTCCGCAAACGGAAACGGAACAATGTATGTAGGTTCCCCTTCCCGGGGAAAGGAATCGTTATCTCTCCGCCGTTTTGCAATTGGCCAATTTTGAAATTCCATTCGGAGTGTGTTTGCTTCTTTTCAAACAACCACCTCCTCTCCGTGGTTCCATTGTTTGTCGGTGCTTTATGAACAGTATATTCGCGATAATCAGTATTTCCTTGATTCTCGAGAATGAAACAAGATCACTGTGTCGTTGTTGCTGAATACTTCCTCTACAGAAATTCTATTTACATTATTCTATTACGTATCCTACATACTATACATATGTATATCATACTATATGTATACTATGTACGAAGTGTGCCAAAAAAGTAGAAAATAATTTCTATTTCTATTATTAGTACAGAAATGCAATAACGGTTACGAAAACTTATTCTCTCTTGCTAAATTGGTCCATTCGTGGCGTTGAGTAATCGCTGGACATTGCAGACATCGAATTGTATATCTACCTCTTCCTTTCTCAAAGTCAGTTAATGAAAATGTTATTATGTAGCTATCTTTAAATAAGTTACAATCGAGTGCAGAAGAAAACCAGTGATTGTTATTGTTACCATTTCCAGAACGAGCTATTTGCTCAATCCGCAAGAGGACTCGAGTTTACCGTCAGCCCTAGACCCGCCAAAAATCCCATCGGATCAACCCACTGCTACCAAGGAATTGCCCAGGCCCCTTAAATTCCGAAATTACGGTTCCTAACTAAGTTCCCCGTTAGATCCCGTGGTACTTTGAGTTTCACGCAGACTTTTATTCGCGTGGAAAACTTTATCCAAACGGAGACACACATAACCATTATTATTTCTATTTTATAGTTAATATTTATTATTTTGTAGAAAAGGAATCTAACTGCTGTGATGGAATCAATCACGATTACGAGACGATAAAGCGACGAAATCGACTTGGGTTGATACGAAAAACGGAACGGGGTAGCTCGTCGTGGCAGCTCCGATTATTCATGAATGACACTACCGGTTGCGCAATTGACATACGCGCTGTATCACGGTTTCCGAAGGGTCAGGTGGAACGTAGCCTAGTTTCACGCCAATTTTAAACCGGCTTCGCTATGCCTGGAACCACTTCACGTGACTATTTTCAGACGCGGTTCCCCTCTCCACCCTTCACGAAAGCTGCTGCATTTCATACATCGCACCGTCGACGCTGGTAATTTTAATTACAGGTTTACCAGCGACACTTGTTCTCGTATTTTTCCGACACAGAGAAGCCAGTTACACCTTATACGGCGGGTAAATCCTCCCTTCACGTTCCAACGGCAATCATCAACGGCATCCCCCGTAGTTTATTATTATCGACGTAGCGATAGTGTGAAAACCACGTCGCTGTTTAAATTATTTCGCACCTGTTTATGTATATTTAGTCGTTCATCGTTAGTAGTGTTAACGTTGTAGATTAGAGTTAATGAAACAAAAAGGTCATGATCGAAAGTTTTGTATGATTTTTTTTTCTCCTTTCGATTTATCAGCTCCGAGTAATCACGGGACACCGAGTACTTCGATCGAGATATCTATGTGAATTATTTCTTTGAAAATTTTATTAAACCAAGCAAAATATTTCCTTCTTTAAAATTTGTACATTATTAACTGTTATTTCAGAAGTATGTGAACAAATATCCGAGTGAATGTACGTACAGTCTAACACGAAGATTCCGAATATTTAGATTATTTTGTAAAGGCCTAGATGGATCCCATGGCTACCGGCAAACGTTTTTCCATTCCGTGGCCGCGCGTTTCGTTCGGAAACTTCGGTCACCGGGCAAAACAAGTTCCCAAGAAGTTGCTCGAAGAGCATTCACTGTGTTCTTTGCAACAGTATGAACACCCAAAGCTATAATTCCTCGCCGAAAGATACGTGCCTTCGAGCTTATGAAACTATGGAGTCCGCCCTTACGAATGACACGATGTTATTTCTACAGACTCCATACTCTTTAGATTGTCGTGTTAATAATAAAAATATAGAAGATACAGTGACTCACAAGCTTGCTCACAAAAGACTGTCGCTCTTCTATTTGACAAAATTATTTACCAAAGTGTGAATTTAACAGTATAAAAGTATAATAAGAAGAATATACGTATTATATGTATAAATAAAAATTGCATAAAAGTTTCGACACCTAATTGTTATTCCAGATGGTCGTGAACGAATGCGTGTGTCACTATAATATGTAGATCGACGCAGGACCACAAGATGTTAAATTCTACTACATACATACATACATACATACATGCATACATATAGGTATGTATACTACATACATATTATGTAGTTTGCCGCAATTCTAGGGTCCAATTTCTACATTCTACTAGCATCAGGCGTGGAATAAACTAGTACTACCGGTGTTGCGATTTTTCTACACCAATATAGAATATAATTTATCATTTTTCGAAGAAACTAAAACATTAGAACTGAACGAGCGATCTGTATTTATTTTAGACCTGTCTCTGCTTTCTCCGGCGATTTTTCCACGGTTTTCGGTGGTAACACAAGCTGGTCGCGTTCTAAGCGGTCGCTAGTCACTGGTTTTCGGGTCAGCTGAAAACAGAGCCAACGGCCCGATCGAAATGCAGTCTTCGATGCCGTGACCTGGATCCGCCAGTTTCTGCGGTTCGTCGTTACGTGTCAACCGAACGAGCGATGATGAGAAACCTCGGTTCACCGAACCGACACGTCCCAACGGTCTCTTTCAATTCGATCTGTCTCCTATCTCTGTTTCACGCAAAGAAGTTACAATCTAGAAGGGAAAATCAATTTATTTCCCTGATTTCTTCGTAATAGTACCTGTACAAAATAGCAGCGTAAAACTCGTAAGAATGTTTCCAGTAATTATTTAAAGGACGATTCGTTCGAGAGCTACGGCGTCGGGCCCGATTCCGCGGAATCCATGAGACTTTCATCTTAATTACAGACTATGACGTTTTTTACTGGAAATCTCTCCCCGTTTTTCGTTTGATCAAACTGGTCTTTAAAAGTGGACCTTTCCGTGAAAGCTTGAATTGGCTGGTATGGAACGACACGAAGAAAAACACACACTGTCGCAGGTGCATCGATTTCTGTTTTCCATCGTGCACACGGAAGTTCTCCTTTTCCATTCAAATAACAGTGAATTCGTCGGGTGAATATATTCGAAATTCTAGACGGACCATTGATTACCGAAGATCCTATGGAATTAGCGGAACTGACCATCGGAATCGAACGATTAGATTATATTTCTCGTCGTTTTATCGAAGATTCGAGGCCCAAACTTTGTACCTATACATATAAAAGAACTCTAGCTGCTTGTCGTAACAGTTGTTGCTAATCATGAAATGAAAGTATAATGTTTAGGAGCCTCAAGATCTACGCCTCACTTACTACAATTATTTTAAAGGACGTATGGAACGAATAAGTCATTCTGTTTATAAATTCCATGAAATTGCAAACTGCTTTGTCTTCTTTTTTTTTCTAATCAAGTTGCCATTGAATTTCAGATTAGAACGCTGTGAAAGTGGACAAGCATTTGTAGAGCAACTTGTAGAGCGAGGATCCTCTACACTCCAAGCTCTAAACGAAGATCTTTTGCGCGTTGCGTCAAGCCAATTAAATGACGTAAGAACCGCGACGCGTCTTTCGTCATAATTCTCACGGTAATTTAACATTTCTTCTCCTTTCGCCGCTGCGAACATCGCACGAACACAATCGTCATATTGTCCATGCTCTACGGTGATTAATTAAAACGCAAGCCCGCAGACCCGTACGAAGAAGGACGCGCGTTTCAAATTAGCGGGGAAAACTTTACATCGTGATTGGCTCGTTCCTGTACCTCGGTTCCTGTCGTGCAATCGCGTCAGCGCGCGAAACTCGATCCTTTCAACATCCGTATACATATATGTATACGTATTTCTATTAACGGGAAGAATATAACGCTCTGGTACAGACACAAATTGTTGAAACAATAGTACATAGTCGTGTTGGCTTGGAAGGAGGAGAGTGTAAAAAAAAATGTACAAAATTTGCAAACGTGTAGTAGGTAAGAGTTTAAAAAAATGAAAACATCACCGATTCAAAGCACAGTTACAAGCTTGCATGATTGATCATTAAAAGGAATCGATATTATCACAGAAATTGTCAGTGATTCTATACGTATAATCGGTACAATTATGATTTATGATATATAATCAACGTAGAGCTGGTACGATTCCAAGATAACAGCGCCATTAATTTAGTCGTTGATAAGATTATACCCAACAACTAGACCATCATGCTTTTATTCTCGACAGTCACTATCTTACATTTCTACACCCAATATTCGTCATAGTGACTATGAATAACTGATCATGAATCGGAATTGGATATACCGTTTCAGTGCTATTATAGCACTAAATAAACAATTAAGGTTCCCTTGCCTTACAGTATTAAAAAAAAAACAAAGGCAATCACTTTTACAAACTAATGCACATTAATGAACCACATTTTTTCCTTCAATTACTCCTCTATTAAATTTTTTCTTTCATTCCATTCCATACACTACATAAAATCCACCGTCCAATAATATTACACTTCATTCTTAAAAAAAAATAATACAATTAATATACCACTACGCCAACGTGAAGGAATAATAAGGGATAACGAAAGGAAAACAGTACGCAGAGACAAAACAAAATCCTCTCGCGGAACAGGCGGAACGAACGGAACGAGGACTGTCAGTGCTCTCGCCAGGCAGCATGGCGGTCGATGGTGTTGGGCGGTAAGGGGGGGGGGGCGGTCCGATTCCGCGTACCTCTCTTCGCGGCAGAGACTGCAGAGTGCCATCAGTTCAGTCCGTAGCGACGCGTCCCGGGCGCAGGTCGCTGTGATGATGGATATCGTTTGTTCTCGCGATGGTCGGCTCGTCGCCGTGGTGCATCATGGTTTCGCGATTCTATGTCTGCTTTACGTTCTCGTGTCGCCGCGTCCTATCTCCTGCCAAGAGACGCTCACAAATCGGATGCGTGTGATCAGCGAGGATCTGGACCGGCAGCTGAACGGGATCGTGACCTCCCAGGCGATCAACTACGCGAAGGTGAACACGTTCGGGCTGCCCTACAACGCCACCACGAAGTTCGACCCCAAGGGCATGGGCCAGCTGTACAACGTGACAAACATGTTCATGGACTTCGTGCAGAGCAAGCAAGCGTATCCCGAGGGTGAGTACAACCGTTGAGTTCATTGCCTCTTCTTCTTATTTTTCTCCCGCGCCCTGCAATCCTCGATGGAAACCCGGACGGAACGCGCTAGGTTTAGGGAGAAGTTTGTCGTATCGCGGCCCTGGTTACGCCCTGCGCTACTGCGCGCTCGAAAATGGCCGGTCGCGTGTGTGTTGGTAAACAGAAAGCTGTAGTTTTGTGTATAGTGAGTGACGACAGGTTTTTGCACGACTATGTAATGAGACTTTTTCATATTTCTGTATGTATACATATTGTTTCATTTGTGGTTAAACTTGTATACGACGATGGTGGAAACACGATTCGCGTTTAATATCTGTAAAATTTGTACGTGTAATATCCGTTTCGGTTGAATCGGTTTTGTTGGTCACTGCGTGAATAATCTTGAGTCATTTAAATGAAAGTACGGTAAATACATAGAATTTGAAACACACTCGACAGCTACCGGAAGTGGGTCTATCTTATCAACGTATCACTCGTCCGGATGCCAGAGTGATCAATTGCACTTTCTATGGATTTTTCATTATTAGTGTTTATCTTTAAGACGTACAATTTATGTAGTATACTTCCAATACTGTACTATATATGTAATTTTTATCTGTTGCGTACCTAGGAGTTAACGTTGGGTGAAATATTATTTTAATCGTCGTTAGTTTTTATTATTTAATTTGTACTTGCTTTGGCTATTCGGTATAGGAAGAACTTTTAATATACATATCTCGAGAATGTAATAATTGTATTAAGAAGGAATGGTTAAGGTATTCAAAGGACTTTTTGCTTTGATCACAACGATCCTCAAGGTTACTTTTACTTTGCAACCTTGTCAGACGTCACTACGAGCAATACCATAGAAATTTTTTTTTTTTATACCTGTTCTGACCAATCAACAACGCATTAGTATTCTTAAACTCGCAGACGACCTACACCATTTGGTTATCTTCTTTTTTCCGTGGATAGTCGACGGAATACGTGACGAAAAGAACCCCCTCGTACTCGTACGTATCCCGATGATTCATACTTGAACGTCATTGAACCACAGGATAAATAAAACTGGAAGAGATTCGTATAATATTTCCGTGTACGGGAAGACATTTTTTTTCGAAGAGGTAGTATTTTTTTTTTTTTTTAAACGACAGTTATACCTGTTATTCCGTAATAGTTCTGGTTGGATGGGCTATCATAAAAGTCCACATCTGTAGAGGAAACATACCCATTCGATTCGTATTGTTAGCGAGAACTTTATGACCGTGGCAAACGCGTTCCAAGGAACATACATATACATATATGATTTATCGCGAAATGAAATGTACAGGCAGTGAATTGAGAACATAAAATCGTTCTATTTTTTATTTCCATTTAACTGTCTACCAAATTTTACAATTCCGTTTTCGATGTCCGAAATATTGCACGAACCACCCAGATTCAATTTAATAATTCCATTTTATAAGAATGGTTCGATAAATATTGACTCTGTGACACCCTAAAAATCGCTTGCTCGAAAAATAGAAACAAATTTTCAAGTTAAAATCCTTTTTCTTACAAATTCATTGTCATAATTATTCTTTGGTAACTGGAATAATTGGAACACCGATCCGTACATGACATATTTAACCATTTTCCTCGGAATTTCCTAATTCCCCGTACATTTTGTCCTTTCACGGGGGACAATCGCGTGCAAAGGGTTGATACTTCGACAATTGGCTCGTACTTAAATATGTATTCCTTCCAGGTTTGTTGGTCGCCGGAAAAAAAAAAAAGATTAAGTACGTAGGTATTATAGTTCGCGCGGATTCGCAGTTTCCGAGCAGCTGCGTGTTCCCGAATTCCCACGCGAAAACAATTCATTGAAAAACGCGATAACTTGCTGAACTATCCCGGATCAATGACCCTCTGGTCGGTCGTGGTTAACGTAGGAGAACCCCAGAGGCATCTATATCAATCCTAACAGGAAGTTGATAGCGAGGCAACGCGTTCGTCATCGTCGAACACAGACCTGACACGTCTGCCTATATCAGAGACCTTTCCGATCCTTTCTTCGGCAACACTTTTCTACCCCCCTGCCCTTCCGATTCGGAACAGCATTGACAGTGAAAGAGCTGTCGATGATCTGCTTATTTGCTTGCACTCGACCCCAGTGGATCTCAATGGGGCCCTTTGGAAGTAGCTCCATTAACGGTAGAAACTACCAAAACACTCGAAATAATTGATTCGTAAATACTTAGAAAAATGATTAAACTGTCGTAACAAAGTACTTGTTGAGATGTTTCGGAAATTTTACTGCGGAATTGTATACATATAGGGGACTTACATTACTGTAACTTGTCATGTGTAAGCAATTTGCGTCGTATAATAAAGAATATAGTAGCATATACCTGCAATCGTATCTCGATCGCTTTTCCTCCAACTGGGAAATTTCAATTCTCGATCTGGGACTTGCACGTGACCAGGAAGCCGCAAGTTTCGTTCGACGGGTCGCGGAATTACCGAGAACGGATCTACATTCGAATCGGTCTCGGTTGGGACGCCGGAGGAGCCGATTTTCTGCTTAGTAGTCCACGACAGACACTTCTCGCGAACGACTCTTTCAGCTTCTAATTTTTTCTTCCCTCTGTCTATCGTTCTGTTCCGGTCGCGTTATCGATTAGTCGCGGGGATAACGGAATCGGTAACTGTACGGATTTATTTCGTGACCGACTGACGTGTATTTGTACCTTTTATCGTTTTATCGTCACGAACAGATGGATCGACGGTTCTGATGGGCCTCCTCGAGATGCCTCCACTACTTCCGTGCCACGTACCATTGCGTCTTATTAGCAGTTATTGTTTTATTACTCCGTCGAGTGTTGCTCCTTCGTCTCTTTTTTTTTTTTTTTTCTTCCACGATATCATCGCCTTCTTTTCATTCTGACCACTTTGAACGAGCCAGCTCGCCTTTGAATAGAGGTAGCCAAGCAAATCTTCTGGTCCATTCTGGATGGTTGGAAGGTTTATTGTTTGATTACGGTACCGAGTGACGCCTCCTTTCCTTTTAATCTTTCTCCCTTTTAAAGATTACTTTGTCGTCGAATCGATACACTTGATGACCCTTGGATGGTGTACCATCATTAATTATATCCGTTTGATAATACGAAATGTGGGTCGAGATTCTCTGAAAAGGATCGCGAATGATAATTACACGTACGAGAAATATCATTCGTGACAGAGCTAGATATGTATTCAAATTGTGAAATTGGCCGAGAATTTGAGCCATGAAACGAGGCCGAGCAACATTTCTGCCACTGGGTTCGTGTATTTCGTTTCAAAAACGAAAATTTATTTTGTGTATACAATTCTTTGAATGCAATAACCAAACTAAAAAGCGTTTGTAATTGAATAGATCAGCTTCCAAAGATTGTGAATGATTAATCGAAAAAGATCTACGAGAAGTATGTACCTACGTACATATGTACACAACGATCGAAATGAATTAAACGAAGACGTATATTCAACCGAGTGGAGTCCTCTTTCTTACGAGCTCACGCATAATTCCACGGGTCCGGAAAGGCTTCTCAGACCCCTTGTACCTGTTGTACCTATTCCCATCAAGGTTCGGAACGACGCGGCCGTATAAAAAGTTAACGACGCGAGGAACCCTTCTCTCGTCTCGTCTGCTTGATTCTCGCTCGTGAGGCCGATTTTATTAGCGTTTTCCGCGAATAGCTGTTACGTACTGGTGGCTATTGATTCCGGTATACGATCGTCGAGTAGTTGCTGAATGGCGTCGGGGAGCCACCCGTTATCGATCTCTCGTTGTCTGTTCCTCTCCACAAAGGCGACGTTTCCTTTCCTTTCCTCTCCTCGCTCTCGGTTTTCCAATCGCCCGTTGCCCCGCTTCAATTCTCCCTCGAATTACTCGATTTCACCTTTATCCTCGCCACCTTGCCGGTCCTCGTTGTTTCGATTTCAATTTAGAAATCCTGTACGATATATCGCGATTTATTGATGAATTATCGACGAATGCGAGAAATGTTACACGATTGGAAATTCCTCTGATTCAGTTTGACGCGGAAAAATTCAAAGTTTGTCGGTTAATTTCAACAGTCCTAGCACACGAGTAAGCAGAGAATGAAGATTTTGTAAAGATCTGTTGAATGAGATTGAATTTTGTGTTTGTTTTTTCGGGTGTACAGTAGTTTCGTTCGGGTATACAAGTTGGACCCTTTGAAAACCGCAGCCGTGTTTCTTTATTTTTATCGAACATTTTCGAAAGACGAAAACTTTCGCCTGATAAACAAGCTATTAGCGAAGTTAATCCATCGATCATCTTCCGCTTATCGGAGCGTCTCTGTGTGTCATCGATCGACAAACAGTCTGCATAAACATGCATAAATTCATCGGTGCATCTGCGAAGATGACAGGCGGAAAAACAATAGAACTCTCTCGTCGAGTCAACAGATTTCTCTTAAGTAAACAGGAAGACTTGCCAACTACACTGAGCTTTTCGGTTTCTCCGTTCTGTGAGACTAGAATTTAACGATAAAACAGAAAATGTCAGAAACGCGTTATTTCTGTATACTCACGAAAATTTCGCGTATTCTAATCGCTTCCTCTAACAACCTACAGCACAGATATAACAGATATAACAGATTCGTGAGCTTGCGTCGGTTCACATTATGAGTAATCAAGATAAGGATAATCCTATTTCCCTGGAAACCTCGAGGGGAACTCAGGGAATATATCGAAACAATTCAATTAAACAGGAAACTCTTGCGTGAATCGGTAAATCTCAGGTGGTGTGTTTACGGCGTATACAAAAATTTCCGCGAAAATAGATGGAAGAATAGAGTACCCTCGTAACTCCTACGCGGAACAATTAAGATAAAGACAAGATAAATATGGTACAGGTGACTATCGTGGAGAAGTACCGTAATCTTAATGTACGTTTGATCGTAGTGTCTGATAATGCAATACTATCGAAAATGTTGCATCGATCTTGTGCAAGA